TCTTCTTAGACCTGCTTTTCTTTTTTCGAAGACACTTGCAAGAATTATGTCCAGTCCTATTACAGTTTGAGTAACAGTATTGTGACTTCGTAGCTTTTTTAACAGCTCTAGCTACATGTAATTTTAATTGCTTTTGTATGAGGTTGGCCAGTTCTTTATCCAAATCGACTTCGTTATTTTTTAAAACATTTCCTTCATTTTTCTTAGGCAAGAAGGAAGAAAATTTATCAACTACTTCTTTAGTAATTGTATCTATTAAAGATTGTAAAGTAGATAGACCTGCTAAAGTACTAAGACAATCTGTCGCACTATCCATTCGAAGCCATTCTTGATTATTCAAGCATAGGTTTGGGTCCCTATATATTTTATCTGGTTCTATTTGACTAGGACATTTTAACTTGTTACCTGGCGCAGATTGAGTAAATGCCATTGTATTTCTTACCAACTCTTCAATTTCAGTTTTAGTCATCACCAATTTGTTAGTATCTAGATTATGGGTTTTTCTTGTTAATACCAAATCTGAATTTGAATGCAGATAAGCTCCAGATAATTGCTTGGCCTTATATCTTTCAATCTCTTCAAGTTCTGTGAGCAATTCAGAAACAGGTCTGTTAATTTCAATGCGTCGAATTTCTAATTGATTATCGGGTGAGATGCCACGAAGAAATTGTAATCGAATTTGTTGTTAATTAATGCTAGTGAGTCTAGCCAATTTATGCAATTTTGAATAGAAACGACCAACGGGATCACTACCCTGAACTGCTGATCCAAAGATCATTCATTGTTTCTCTGCAGTAACGGTTAGATAGTTAGTCTTGAGCCAGTATATTACTTGACCAAGTTGAACCCATCTGCCACCACAGATTGACCAACGTTGGCATTTGGTAGATTTATTATGTGATTAGTTGGACAACCATCAGCAAAAGACCAGTCCTCATCAAATACTGTATGAGCTGGAATAACAATATTTCTGGCTTGACCTGTAGTACCATATCTTAAATTTGCACCAAGTTGCACCACCATTCGTCCTTGAACCAGAGCTAACATCAGCAAAATTTAAAAGGTGCTATATATCGATAGTAATCTCCTAGATTACAATCGATATACAACCCTCTTGCCGATTATTATC